ACTGCACCATAGACTCAACACTGCACCATAGACTCACACTGCACCATAGACTCAACACTGCACCATAGACTCAACACTGCCCATAGACTCACACTGCCATAGACTCAACACTGCACCATAGACTCAACACTGCCCATAGACTCAACACTGCACCATAGACTCAACACTGCACCATAGACTCAACACTGCACCATAGACTCAATAGTGCCCATAGACTCAACACTGCCCATGGACTAGCATTGTCCATTGACTAGCATTGTCCATAGACTATGGTGACTAGGAGATGTTAACTACCTCGCCGTGTGTACAGGAGGTCGTGGGTTCGATCCCGACCCTGACGCCTGCTGCTGCTGCTATAGATTTGGAGTCTGCGTGTCTCTCTCTCTGTCTCAGTGGTCGCGTGGAATTTTTCTTCAGGTCGTCTGGGTTTTCCCCTCCCCATATAGAATCGACATCTACACAGCAACTCAGCAGTGCCCCTTAGGGGCCGTCCATAAATGACGTCACGCACCTAAGGGGGGGGGAGGGGGTCAGACATTTGTGACGATGTGTGACGAGGGGGGAGGTGTGAAATGTGACGTCACATCAAAATGCGTAGCTTTAAATAAATATAGAATTGTTATAGCAACACTAATTGTGATAATTGGTTTTTTAACCCTTCTATCTGGCGCCTTTTGGCGTCATCTGGTCCAACACCAAGTGAGACTAGGCTCTAAGGAAAGCTGTCTCGGGTGTGGACCAATCAACTTCAAGGACAGTGCACATACATTATCAGAGTTGTGTTTTTTGTTTGTATTACGACTGCAGGTATTGCGGTCTATGCAAACATGACTCCTTGTAAAAAGGTGTCAGTTTTGTTGCCAGATAGAAGGGTAAAAAACCAATTATCATATTTTTACTGGCAAATGAGGTTCCCATAACTCTAATTGTTATAACAACACTAATTGTTATAACAACACTAATTGTTATAACAACACTAATTGTTATAACAACACTCCTACAACATCAGAGTGCAGCGCCACAATAAACACGCACCACAATGACAATAGTTTAAAGCGATTTGAAGCATGCTTTATTTTCAAAATGGAAATATGGTTTTGGGGGGGGGGGGGGCAGAGCTTTGTGACGTCATATTTGAGGGGGGGGGGTCTGACTTTTTGTGACGTCGTGTGACGAGGGGGGGGGGGGTGAGGGTTGAAAATCGTCCAAAACCGCGTGACGTCATCTATGGACGGCGCCCTTACCTGGTGGTACAATAAAATAACTGGATATCTTCTTGGTTCTTTCGGTGAAGTCACGTAGAAGGGAAGTAATAAAATAATAAAAATAAAACAATTCTCACGACGTTTCGGCTGCTTGCGTTGTGGCCGAAACGTCGTGAGAATTGTATTTTATTATGTTTTATTTTTATTAATTTATTATTTCTATTCTACGTGACTTTATCGAAAGAACCAAGAAGATGAATCCCTGCAGTCACGAAAGCTTTAAATCGAAATTTTGTTTCATTTTTATTATTTTATTATTTCCCTTCTACGTGACTTTACCGAAAGAACCAAGATGATGAATCCCTGCAGTCACGAAAGCTTTAAATCGAAATTTTATTATGTTTCATTTTTATTATTTTATAATTTCCCTTCTACGTGACTTTACTGAAAGCACCAAGATGATGAATCCCTGCAGTCACGAAAGCTTCAAATCGAAATTTTACTGGACATCCACTGGACATTTATGAAGAAGAGCTTCATGGCTCATCGGATTTCTCTGACGACGCAGACCTCCTCGAGGACTGTGCCCAGGGACACGGAGCGGGCTACCGGGGCACGACGGCCGTGACCCGGCAGGGCACGGCGTGTCAGATGTGGAGCAGCGAGACGCCACACAAACCCCTGTGAGTGAGGTGGTGGGTGAGTGGGTGAGTGGGATGGTGGGTGAGTGGGTGGGTGGGTGGGTGAGTGGTGGGTGAGTGGGTGGGTGGGTGAGTGGGTGAGTGGGGTGGTGGGTGAGACGGTGGGTGAGTGGGTCAGTGGGTGGGTGGGTGAGTGAGGTAGTGGGTGGGTGGGTGAGATGGTGAGTGGGTGGGTCGGTGGGTGGGTGGGTGAGTGAGGTGGTGGGTGGGTGGGTGAGTGGGTGGGTGAGTGGGTCAGTGGGTGGGTGGGTGAGTGAGGTGGTGGGTGAGTGAGATGGTGGGTGAGTGGGTCGGTGGGTGGGTGGGTGGGTGAGTGAGGTGGTGGGTGGTGGGTGAGTGGGTGGGTGGGTGAGTGGGTCAGTGGGTGGGTGGGTGAGTGAGGTGGTGGGTGAGTGAGATGGTGGGTGAGTGGGTCGGTGGGTGGGTGGGTGGGTGAGTGGGTGGGTGGGTGGGTGGGTGAGATGGTGGGTGAGTGAGATGGTGGGTGAGTGGGTCAGTGGGTGGGTGGGTGAGTGGGTGGGTGGGTGAGGTGGTGGGTGAGTGGGATGGTGGGTGAGTGGGTGAGTGAGGTGGTGGGTGGTGGGTGAGATGGTGGGTGAGTGGGTCAGTGGGTGGGTGGGTGAGTGAGGTGGTGGGTGGGTGGGTGAGATGGTGAGTGGGTGGGTCGGTGGGTGGGTGGGTGAGTGAGTGGTGGGTGGGGTGGGTGGGTGAGTGGGTGGTGAGTGGGTCAGTGGGTGGGTGGGTCAGTGGGTGTGTGGGTGAGTGAGTGAGGTGGGTGAGTGGGTCAGTGGGTGGGTGGGTGAGTGAGGTGGTGGGTGAGTGAGACGGTGGGTGGGTCAGTGGGTGGGTGGGTGGGTGAGGTGGTGGGTGGGTGGGTCGGTGGGTGGGTGAGTGAGTGAGATGGTGGGTGGGTTGGTGGGTGAGTGGGTCAGTGGGTGGGTGGGTGGGTGAGTGAGGTGGTGGGTGAGTGAGGTGGTGGGTGAGTGGGTCAGTGGGTGGGTGGGTGAGATGGTGGGTGAGTGAGTGAGATGGTGGGTGAGTGAGACGGTGGGTGAGTGGGTCGGTGGGTGGGTGGGTGAGTGAGGTGGTGGGTGAAATGGTGGGTGGGTGAGGTGGTGGGTGAGTGAGACGGTGGGTGAGTGGGTCAGTGGGTGGGTGGGTGGGTGAGTGAGATGGTGAGTGAGTGAGATGGTGAGTGGGTGAGGTGGTGGGTGAGTGAGATGGTGGGTGGGTGAGGTGGGGGGTGAGTGAGATGGTGGGTGAGTGAGATGGTGGGTGAGTGAGATGGTGGGTGAGTGAGATGGTGGGTGAGTGAGATGGTGGGTGAGTGAGTCAGCGAGATGGTGGGTGAGTGAGATGGTGGGTGAGTGAGTCAGCGAGTGAGTGAGACGGTGGGTGAGTGGGTCAGCGAGATGGTGGGTGAGTGAGATGGTGGGTGAGTGAGATGGTGGGTGAGTGAGATGGTGGGTGAGTGAGATGGTGGGTGAGTGAGTGAGTGAGATGGTGGGTGAGTGAGATGGTGGGTGAGTGAGATGGTGGGTGAGTGAGTCAGCGAGTGAGTGAGACGGTGGGTGAGTGGGTCAGCGAGATGGTGGGTGAGTGAGATGGTGGGTGAGTGAGATGGTGGGTGAGTGAGATGGTGGGTGAGTGAGATGGTGGGTGAGTGAGTCAGCGAGTGAGTGAGACGGTGGGTGAGTGGGTCAGCGAGATGGTGGGTGAGTGAGACGGTGGGTGGGTGAGATGGTGGGTGAGTGAGATGGTGGGTGGGTGAGATGGTGGGTATTGTCTATGTGTCCCACCCACGTGGTCTGTGTCTCTTTCTCCCGACCACGTGTCCTGTGTCCTGACCACGTGTCCTGTATCCCGACCACGTGGCCTGTATCCTGACCACGTGTCCTGACCACGTGTCCTGTATCCTGACCACGTGTCCTGTATCCTGACCACGTGGCCTGTATCCTGACCACGTGTCCTGACCACGTGGCTTGTGTCCTGACCACGTGTCCTGTGTTCCAACCACGTGGCCTGTAACCCGACCACGTGTCCTGACCCCGTGTCCTGTATCCTGACCACGTGTCCTGACCACGTGGCTTGTGTCCTGACCACGTGTCCTTGTGGCCCACAGCTACTCTCCGACGACGCATCCGTTGGCCGCGCTGGAGGAGAACTTCTGCCGCAACCCGGACAACGACACGAAGGGGCCGTGGTGCTACACCACAGACCCCCAACTCCGCTACGACTACTGCAGCGTGGAGGCCTGCGTACTGCCGCCCAGCGACGAGCGCACAGGTGTGGCGGGTGAGGTGGTGGGTGGGATGGTGGGTGAGATGGTGGGTGGGATGGTGGGTGGGTGAGTGAGTGAGATGGTGAGTGAGTGAGATGGTGGGTGGGTGGGTGGGATGGTGGGTGAGATGGTGGGTGAGTGAGATGGTGGGTGAGTGAGATGGTGGGTGAGATGGTGGGTGAGATGGTGGGTGGGATGGTGAGTGAGTGAGATGGTGAGTGAGATGGTGGGTGAGATGGTGGGTGAGATGGTGGGTGAGTGAGATGGTGAGTGAGATGGTGGGTGAGTGAGATGGTGGGTGAGTGAATGAGATGGTGAGTGAGATGGTGGGTGGGTGAGTGGGTGAGATGGTGGGTGAGTTAGATGGTGGGTGAGATGGTGGGTGAGTTAGATGGTGGGTGAGTGGGATGGTGGGTGAGTGAGATGGTGGGTGAGATGGTGGGTGAGATGGTGAGTGAGTGAGATGGTGGGTGAGTGGGATGGTGGGTGAGATGGTGGGTGAGATGGTGAGTGAGTGAGATGGTGGGTGAGATGGTGGGTGAGATGGTGGGTGAGATGGTGGGTGAGATGGTGGGTGAGATGGTGAGTGAGTGAGATGGTGGGTGGGTGAGTGAATGAGATGGTGGGTGGGTGGGTGGGATGGTGGGTGAGATGGTGGGTGAGTGAGATGGTGGGTGAGATGGTGAGTGAGTGAGATGGTGGGTGGGTGAGTGAATGAGATGGTGGGTGGGTGGGTGGGATGGTGGGTGAGATGGTGGGTGAGTGAGATGGTGGGTGAGATGGTGAGTGGGTGAGATGGTGGGTGAGATGGTGGGTGAGTGAGATGGTGGGTGAGATGGTGGGTGAGTGAGATGGTGGGTGAGATGGTGGGTGAGATGGTGGGTGGGTGGGTGAGTGACATGGTGAGTGAGATGGCGGGTGAGATGGTGGGTGGGTGGGTGAGTGACATGGTGAGTGAGATGGTGGGTGAGATGGTGGGTGGGTGGGATGGTGTGTGGGTGAGATGGTGGGTGGGTGGGTGGTGGGTGGGGGATGTGGGTGAGATGGTGGGTGAGTGAGATGGTGAGTGAGATGGTAAGTGATATGGTGGGTGAGTGGGTGGGATGGTGGGTGAGTGAGATGGTGGGTGAGTGGGATGGTGGGTGAGTGAGATGGTGGGTGAGATGGTGAGTGAGTGAGATGGTGGGTGAGATGGTGGGTGAGATGGTGGGTGAGATGGTGAGTGAGTGAGATGGTGGGTGGGTGAGTGAGTGAATGAGATGGTGGGTGAGTGAGATGGTGAGTGAGTGAGATGGTGAGTGAGTGACTGATGGGTGAGTGAGATGGTGGGTGAGTGAGATGGTGGGTGAGTGAGATGGTGAGCGAGTGAGATGGTAGGTGAGTGGGATGGGGGTGAGATGGTGAGTGAGTGAGATGGTGGGTGAGTGAACTGGTGGGTGAGTGGTGAGTTAGTGAACTGGGGTGTGAGTGAGATGGTGGGTGAGTGAGATGGTGAGCGAGTGAGATGGTGGGTGAGTGAGATGGTGGGTGAGTGAGATGGTGAGTGAGTGAGATGGTGGGTGAGTGAGATGGTGAGTGAGTGAGATGGTGAGCGAGTGAGATGGTGGGTGAGTGAGATGGTGGGTGAGTGAGATGGTGGGTGAGTGAGATGGTGAGTGAGTGAGATGGTGGGTGAGTGAACTGGTGGATGAGTGAGATGGGGGCTGAGTGGGTGAGGCGGATGGATGGGGGCAGGCAGGGTGGGTGGGTGAGCGAGATGGTGGGTGAGTGAGATGGTGAGTGAGTGAGATGGTGAGTGAGTGAACTGGTGGGTGAGTGACATAGTGGGTGAATGAGTGAGATGGTGAGTGAACTGGTGGATGAGTGAGATGGGGGCTGAGGGGTGAGTGAGATGGTGGGTGGGTGAGCGGTGGTGCAGCGGCTCGCGATCCGCAACTACGAACCCCAGCCACCCAGGTTCGAGTCCCGCTCAAGGGCCGCCATCCGCCAACACCCGGAGCGTCTCGATCTAGGGTCTCTCCCCTAGGTCCACTGAGCCCCAAATGAGTAGCCGGTGTGGCGCTGTACAGCAAATGTCACCGCTGGGAGAGACAAAGGCGGTCGGCGCTGCTGCTGCTGCTGCTGCTGTTGCTGCTGCTGTTGCTGCTGCTGCTGCTGCCGCTGCTGTTGCTGCTGCTTCTGCTGCTGCTGCTTCTGCTGCTTCTGCTGCTGCTGCTGCTGCTTCTGCTGCTTCTGCTGCTGCTTCTGCTTCTGCCGCTGCTGCTGCTGTTGCTGCTGCTTCTGCTGCTGCTGCTGCTTCTGCTGCTGCTGCTTCTGCTGCTGCTGCTTCTGCTGCTTCTGCTGCTGCTTCTGCTTCTGCCGCTGCTGCTGCTGCTGCTGCTTCTGCTGCTTCTGCTGCTGCTGCTGCTGCTTCTGCTGCTGCTGCTGCTGCTGCTTCTGCTGCTTCTGCTGCTGCTGCTGCTGCTGCTGCTGCTGCTTCTGCTGCTTCTGCTGCTGCTGCTGCTTCTGCTGCTGCTGCTTCTGCTGCTTCTGCTGCTGCTGCTGCTGCTGCTACTACTGCTGCTGCTGCTACTACTGCTGCTGCTACTACTGCTGCTGCTGCTGCTTCTGCTTCTGCTGCTGCTGCTGCTGCTCGCTACTAACAGCACTCGCCCCTACAGCCTGCCCAAGGGCCTTTGGGGTGGGTGGGTGCATGTTGAAGCCACGTGATGCGGCAATGTCTCACTGCTATTGTGACGTCACAGGGCAGACCACGTGGGGCGAGGTTGCGGTGCACGACACGGCGCCGTCGACTAGCGCCTCGTCGCCAGGCGAATGTGGCCGTTTGTTGGTTTAGCATCCGTCTCGAGAGACGGGTTCATTGCGACGTGGCTAGGCGATGTTGACTACCTTGCCTGGTGTACAGGAGGTCGTGGGTTCCACCATCATCTTCATCATCATCACGGTGGCTCGGAGATGTTGACTACCTCGCCTGGTGTACAGGAGGTCGTGGGTTCCACCACCATCATCATCACGGTGGCTAGGAGATGTTGACTACCTCGCCTGGTGTACAGGAGGTCGTGGGTTCCACCACCACCATCATCACGGTGGCTAGGAGATGTTGACTACCTCGCCTGGTGTACAGGAGGTCGTGGGTTCCACCACCATCATCATCACGGTGGCTAGGAGATGTTGACTACCTCGCCTGGTGTACAGGAGGTCGTGGGTTCCACCACCACCATCATCACGGTGGCTAGGAGATGTTGACTACCTCGCCTGGTGTACAGGAGGTCGTGGGTTCCACCACCATCATCATCACGGTGGCTAGGAGATGTTGACTACCTCGCCTGGTCTACAGGAGGTCGTGGGTTCCACCACCATCATCATCACGGTGGCTAGGAGATGTTGACCATCTCGCCTGGTCTACAGGAGGTCGTGGGTTCCACCACCATCATCATCATCACGGTGGCGAGGAGATGTTGACTACCTCGCCTGGTGGACAGGAGGTCGTGGGTTCCACCACCACCATCATCATCATCACGGTGGCTAGGAGACGTTGACTACCTCGCCTGGTGGACAGGAGGTCGTGGGTTCCACCACCACCATCATCACGGTGGCTAGGAGATGTTGACTACCTCGCCTGGTGGACAGGAGGTCGTGGGTTCCACCACCATCATCATCATCATCACGGTGGCTAGGAGATGTTGACTACCTCGCCTGGTCTACAGGAGGTCGTGGGTTCCACCACCATCATCATCATCACCATCACGGTGGCTAGGAGATGTTGACTACCTCGCCTGGTGTACAGGAGGTCGTGGGTTCCACCACCATCATCATCACGGTGGCTAGGAGATGTTAACTACCTCGCCTGGTCTACAGGAGGTCGTGGGTTCCACCACCACTACCACCACCATCATCATCATCACGGTGGCTAGGAGATGTTGACTACCTCGCCTCAACTACAGGAGGGCGTGGGTTCGATCCCGACCCTGCCGATGCCTGCTGCTGTATATTTGGAGTCTGCGTCTCTCTCTCTCATCATCATCACGGTGGCTAGGGACATGTCCACTCCCTCTGCTGTTGTTGAGACACTAAATGTGGAAACCGGTCCTGGCCTATTGATTGTACTGCTAATGAAACACCCAATGTCGGATCCGGCCCCAGAGTTCTTCTTGTGCTGAGCCAGGTCCGGCCGATGAGATGGCCATTCCCAGAATGGGGGCCCGTGCAGCAGCTGATGGGATGGGTTAAAACATAGCAGGAGTAGAGACGGATCTATGTGTGTGTGTGCATATATGTGAGATGTGATGATATCGTGCACGCTAATGATTGTTTATTAGGGTTAAAGTTAAGGGGACAGGGAAAACATTCAGCGTTTATCTCTCGTTGTTCATTAACAAACTACTGTTGCAAATGTGGACAGTTTTAAAATGCGTGCGTGTGTGTGTGTGTAAACTATGTGTGTGTGTGTGTGTACACTGTGTGTGTGCGCACGTGTGTGTATTCACGTGGAGCTGATCTATACTCTGACCATCGACTAGTCATCTGTAAGATGCGCCTGCCTTTCTTCCACTCCGGTGGTGGGTGTACACCCAGGATCCCATTCCAACCAAAAGTGGCCTGGTCTCAGTTAGCTGATGAAAGTTGCAAGCGAGAATTTCATCATCGCTTGCAGCTGGGATTGGCATCGTCCCCCACTCCACCTGATGTCGAGGGGAAATGGGCGAGGTTTAGGACTGTGACTCATGCAGCTGCAATGGCTGCTTTGGGTACGCGGTCCAGACCTCCCCAGAAACCCTGGCTGACAGAGGAGGTGTTCAGGTTAATTGAGAAAAAGCGACAGGCCCACTCTCATCGCCTACAGCATCCCACGTCAGAGAATGAGGAGGTTTACCGCAGCCTTCGCTCGGAGGTTCGGAGAGCCGTGAGGCGCTGCAAGGATGGGTGGTGGTCGCGGGTTGCTGAGGAGATGGAGTCTGCCCCAGTGGCCCGCGATCACAAATCACTATTTAACTCCATCAAAAAT